GATCTGATCACTTGAATGACTTCCAATGTGTAGACTCCTCAATTGTGCAGACTGGTCTGCTTCCCCAAGAGAACATTGATGCTCTGTGCAAGCAGCAAGATCATGCGATGATGCAGAAGATGCAAGAAATGGATACCAGGATTTGGGAACTGCACAAACAAGACCGGATACGCAAGTTTCTGAAACTGGCACCGCCATCCTTTGATGGGACTTCGGAACAGCTAGCGGCCTATGACTGGTTATCTGAGATGGACATTTCCGGATGCAGTGACGAGGAAAAGGTGGCTTTTGCCACTTTCCTGCTAAAGGGGAGTGCACGCAATTGGTGGCAAATGGTGAATGCAGGACTTCAGCGCAATGATAAACCACATAGTTCGAATATGTTCAAAGAAGAACCAACGGCCCTTGGACCACAAGGGCACTTAAGCTCTTTGTGGGATGCTTGAATCTTTCCGTCTAGAACAGGATACTGCCGTCTGTCGCACTCTATGACGCAAGGGAAAGGCCTGAGGCCAGATTTGCTCCACCGCAGTGGGCTCATGACGAACCTCGCTGAGCAATTTTCGGACAGATATCCAACAGGTCTTCATGTTATACAACAATTTTGAACCGTGCAACAGCGATTGAGCATTGCAATGAGCTCGAGAGAGCACAAAACCAACCGTCGCCAAAAGATCTTCAGGCCTAATTTTTGAAGAATGTCCTGTTAAATCTATACCCCAAGGCCTTCTTGAGTAGCATCTAGGTGTTGCTCATCTCTTTCGTACCCTGTTTACTTGACTGCGCTTCTAGTTTTGCTTTAGTTTAGGGTAGTGCTTCTTTTGCACATCGACACCTTTTTCCACTTTGTGACTTTAAACTGTGTATAAAAGCCGAGATATTCACATCATTTACTTGGCAGCACAATACCGTTATAAATTTCACTGTTAATTAGACAAGTGCATATCTGTTACATTCACATGACAGCGTGTATGCAAACCTGTCAAAGCCATTTTCTTTTAGAATGATGTGAATCAAACCAAGGAAAACTGTTTACCCTTCTTACAGCAGTAGAGCTAAAAAGTTTAAGAACCCAACGCTCTATCATTTCTAACCTTGAATCCGGAAATACCGCCGCTCCCAAAGCAGTAAAGAGAAAAGAAGGAACCGCATGCGAAATACACGAGTCCAAAAAGCAGGCCATTTCATCAAGGGTTGCATTTTCTCAAACACTAGGCACGACAACTTGTTTAAGCTTGGATTGAAGCTGAAGCATGAGGTGCCAAGAAATGAACAACCCAGTGTTCACAGCTGCGGAAAATCACATAGTAACTGGAAGAAACATGCAAACTTTTTCCCAAGTAAATTGGTATTTCAAGGATGAGATCTATCGGATTGTGGAGGGGGATTGAAAAGTAACTGACATGGTTTTGAGTAAAAGAACTTGATTTATAGGAGTCTAGGAAACTCAGGGTAACGACTACAGTAATATCCAAAATTGAAACAAGGTAGATCCCAAAATCATCAAAACAAAAATATAGAATCCAAATATCCTTCCAGCATTTCAACTTAAATCTAAACAACTAAATTTCACTATGACACGCATGTGTTGAATGCACCACCACACCACATATGCTTTCTAGTAACGCATGATACCCCAAACTCTGATGACACCATCTGTGTAACCACTGAAGAGTGTGCTTCCATCAGCACTCCAGTTAAGACTGGTGCAGTAGATGACCTGCAAGCCACAGTGCAGAAAATAAAAATTTAAATAGACCAGTAAACTTATAGGGTCAAAACCAGGATAAAACATGGACAGCTTTTACTAGCTATGTTGGCAACTGTATAATTGCAGCAAAAGCCTGGTGAGGACAACTGAGCATGACAAGCATAATATTAGGCAGCCAACATGCAAATAAATCCTATAAAGCAAATACAAACCAAACTCTCACAGGTTTTTACCCAAGATAAACTCTAAGCCATGGTGCTACGCATTCCACAATGAACTTACACAGAAAGGAACACTCCACTTAATCAGAATAATAGCAATGTAACAGCATTGAGACTCAGAAAGTTTCAACATGGCATGGGAGAGAACCAAAAAGAGTAGGGCATTCAAGTATAGTTCAAGCTAAAATTTGATCAAATGAATCCCATAGGAAACTAACATGGAAGCATCAATATTTCCAACCTAACAACTGGAAAATCTTCAGAATACAGTTCAATATTTTCATCCAAATGCACACCACGTTTACCATCAAAAAACAATTTTACTGACACAAAAGGTACACAAAAATGCACTAAGATTAGGTATGCTGATCACAACATAAAAATTCACTGTAAGATCAAATTGACATTGAATTCTTCTGTAGGATCTTGACTGTGTAAGAAAGCATGTACAGCTCATGAAAACAAAAAAAACACAATCAAAGTTCCATTGCAAGCAATGGGAAACTATAAACCATACCAAGCTCCTTAATTCAACTTAGTACACATACAATATATTTCACACAAACCATTACCACAAGTTCTTTACATAGCTGCATAAGCTCGGAGCAAACTAATTCAAACAACTTAAACCCACAACACAGCATCTAAGAGTATTACCCAAATGCACATGATCTCAAAACACAAACACAGTTTCATGATCACACAACAAAATACTGGATTGTCCACCATTCTAAACGAACAGATAAAGTAATAAACAAATTCGCTACATCATCCTGACTACTAAAATCAACAAAATTTAAGAAAACAGGAGGCAAAAATTGGACCTTGTTTTTAGCACCAGTTGTCTGAACAGTGGTGCCTTCAGCAGCCATTTCGCTCTCTTGCTTCAAATCAACCCTCAAATCCACCACAATACTCTTACTCTCCAAATCCCAAATCTTAATGCTCGCCTCAGTTGCAGCACAAAGCCAGTACCTGTTAGGACTAAAACACAAAGCATGGATAATGGAACCAGCATCCAACGAATAGAGCTTCTTTCCCTCAGCCAAATCCCACAACAAAATCACTCCATCCTTCCCTCCACTAGCACACAACGATCCATCAGGAGAAACCGCCGCAGTATTCACATACCCAGTATGCCCAGCCAAAGTTGCCCTCATCTTACAGTTACTCAAATTCCAAATCTTCACAGTTCGATCCCAAGACCCAGAAACAATTGTCGGCTGCAGATTATTCGGGCTAAACCGAACGCAAGAAACCCAATCGGTATGCCCATCAGCATCCTGGATAGTGTATTTGCATTCCCCGAGAGTGTTCCACAGCTTGATGGTTTTGTCGCGAGAAGCAGAGACAATTTGGCGGTTGTCGATGGAGAAGGCTACCGAGAGAACATCTTTAGTGTGGCCGACGAAGCGGCGAGCGGTGGTGCCAGATTGAAGGTCCCAAAGGCGGAGCTCGCCGTCCCAGGAGCCCGAGAGAGCGAACTGGCCATCAGAGGAGAGAACGACGTCTTGGACGAAGTGAGAGTGGCCGGTGAGGCGGCGGCGAGGGACGCCGTAGGTTTTGTCTTCTTTGGTCAAGGACCAGAGGATGATGGATTTGTCCCGGGAAGAAGTGACGATCATGTCTGTGTTGTCGATTGGAGTGGCGATGGCCGTGACCCAGTCGGTGTGGGCCCTCATTGTGCCGCGGAGGATCAGCTGATCTTGAGACATTTTCAGGGAGGAGGAGCGGCTGTGGGGTGCAGGGTTTTTGGGAGGAGAGAGGCGGAAAATGGAAAATATATAGTGAAATGATAGATAAAAGAAACCCTAGAGGCAGTGAAGCGTGAATATGTATATATAGGTCGGAGGATTTTAGGGTTTTGCGAAGGGAATTGGGTTCTAATAGGTAAGACATGGGTGGGTATGGCTTATGTGGGTGGGCAGGCGGGCGGGCTTTGGATGGGTTGTTTGAATATTGGAACGAAACTTTTTTTTTTTTTTTTTGAGTTATCTTTTCTTTTGAGAAAATTTCTCGTGTGAGTCTATTTTCTGGCATATAATACAATAATACTAGTCCATTTAATTTTTTTTTTGGCAAGGATACTGTCGCATATTTGGGAGCGGAAATCAGAAGTAAATGGTCAATTTTCACTCTATTATTAAGATTCACTTTAAAATTTAAGATTTAAGCATGCTGTAAATTTTTTTTTATAAAAAAAAAAACTGCATTGTCATTTATGCCTTTTGCCATTGTTATCTTTCTCAAATTTTTTCTGTGAAGAAAAAATCATTTTATTAAGATTTATTGAATTGTTGACATTGTTTCCTTAAGTGATATGACGTATATGAGATAAAAAGGTGGGTTGGAAATTGTATTTGTGATACAAATAAATAAATTTAAACCAAATAATGACTATCCAAACACACTCATTAGTACTTGAAAATTAGTTGTATACATGATATATATATATTTATAGAGTCAGTCTATAATCGAAAAACATTGTATACTCTATAATCGAAAAACATTATACTTGTCAAAATTAAGAACAAAAAATTAGACACTAAACTTGTCAAAACGAATTAGATTGAATACCAATATTTGCTGTTCACAGCTAATTCTTATGCTGTGAAGATGTGATAAATTCAGATGGCAAATTAAGAAACTGGAAATAGTAAACTTTCATCTTCCGCATAGCACGTAAAGGTTTTCCACTGAATACTCTGTAATCGGTCACCAAAATTTTCAGGAGGAGAAGAAACTTTGCCTCATTCCTGGCCAAGGCATCGCATTTCCAGTTTATATTGGTAGAGGCTATTATGCTGTTATGGAAAATCAGAGCCTATACATTATTTCAACTGAATAGCGCAGCCCAAACGGTGACAGGTAGACAGACATTGGTGTGCAACTATAGCATCGTTAATGCGGCTTTTAGCTTCGGATGATAAATGACAATCTCGGCTTTTAGCCTGCAGTCACCAGCACCAGGAAAACTCCGCAAGCCTTAACCCTGCGTGAGGCAGCTAATTTGGGACTTTTATGAGTTACATTTGTCGTCGTCCAAAAAAGGCAAACAAAAACCAAAGAAGGTGCAATTTCTGCCTTTCATTTGCGATCGAATAGTTTCATTCATGAATTGCTTCGGAATTAAGACGACCACCACTGAAAATACAGGAGTTACTCGAAACTTTTTACTTTCAAGAAAAATCAAGACAGTGATGCAACTCATGCAACATAGGCACGCAAATATAGTCAAACCCTATACTCAAATAACAAAATTTTTTTACTCGCTGCTGTACAAGCAAAACTCGGGAAATCCTCATTCGGTGGGTGCAAACGGAAAAAATCACCCATTGTATCATGGCACGCACTCTTACTCCTTGTTATGCTATGTTCACTTGCCTGCATCTAAACTTTGTGTTCACAGGACATAATTCCATATCTCCAATGCAGTTCTGTATTCTCTAAGGTTCTCATCTCCCCCGGGATGGCCCCTTCCTGCCGGACTATTATTCCTAGTTATGTTATCTCAACCTGCCATAATACAAAATTTTGTATAGGCAAGATACACTTCCCATGCAGTTCCCGTATTCTCAAAGTTCTCATCTCCCATGGAATGGCCTTTTCCTGCAAGAATGCACTTACTGGCTAATTTAACCTCTTCTCCTTTTCTTAATCTTGTTGCAAAACATAGCAAGCGTCATGTCATCATCCCCTGTATTTTCTGCTGCTAATCTTTTATTGCAAAATTCAGCAAGGGTCATGTCATCATTTTCTGTTTCTTCTACTACTGAAGTCTCATCTCTATTTCTTGATCTTTTGCCTCTCTTGCTACCAATGACGCCAGATGTACCCAAGTCCTTCTTCACTGTTGAATTCAGCAGCGAGGATGAGTGATGGTCTACAGCATTAGTACTTTCACTCTTCTCTGGAGTTGACTTGGTCTCACTTCTCTGCTTATTAACAACAGTATCATGTACAACATCAAATTCAGCAGTATTGGGAAAGGATATTCCAGGAATTCCATCCGGTGATTCATTGTGTCCAGACCGTCTTGGATGTAATTTAGAAGCCTTTCGACCCAAGGTAGCTACTCCATCGCTTCTATTAACTTCAACTGCCTCTTCTCCATTCTCTATCAACAACAAATTTGGATTATCGAATGATAATTGATGACCTTCTGTGTCATTACAACCTCCATTTTCTTCTCGCAACTCATTCCGGCTGCTGTGGCTTGGATGTTGGACAAAATATTGTTTACACCGGCTAGCAGATTCATCGTCTCTCTTTTGACCCAAGGTAGCAGCTCGTTCGCTTCTATCAACTTCAACCACCTCTTCTCCTTTCGCTATCAACAACAAATTTGGATTATCAAATAATAATTGATGACCTTCTGTGTCATTACAACCTCCATTTTCTTCTAGTGACTTGTTGCATCTGCTGTAGCTTGGATGTTGGTCAAAATCTTGTTTACACTGAGTACCAGATCCATCATCTCTAACCAGTTCCCTTGTCTCCTCTCCACCAGTCATAATCAACGAATTCACGTTATTAGAAGATGATATCCGATCTACACTATCAGAACATCCATCCCTCTTGGGATGTGTTCTCCTAGCCCTCTTTTTGGAAGTACACTTGTACCCAGAAGCCATGCCCTTGGACTTCTGTGAGCTTCTATAAACAGACAAAAGAAAGCCAACCATCAAATAAATGAAAAAACACAAATGCAATCACAGAGGAGACTCTTATTACCACATTCAGATTGAGATCGTACCTATTTTGGCAATGATTAAATCCACCCAATGTCTCCAGATCGTTACTGTGCATTGTTTCTGAAGAATGCATTGTATCTGGACAATAGGACAAATGTTCTTCCGATGAAGCAATAGAATTGGTCCTCCTTGACTTCCTCCTTTGTCTCTTCCTTCTTGAGATTGAATCACTAGTGAATCTCTCCACCTCAGTGCCACTGGCCAAAACTTCCTCGGAGCCTAGATTGCTGTAATGTCACATGAAATTATTAGACACAAGCCAAGTTACGTGTTACATAAATTGGCATTTCATCATTGAACACTATAAAATATGAACATTGAAACATCATACCTCAACCCCCAGTTCTGATGTCCAGAGAGATTGATACGCTCAGATTCAGATGTACATGTTATTTCTGGCAATGGGACAAAATCACTAGGCAGTAGGCCAGGCCGTTCTGATTCCCGATCGACAAAGTTTGAAATCAGAGCGGCCCTTTGCATCTTTTTGGCAGCTTGAAGCCAAGGCACTTCATGTGGAAGAAGCACCTTCCATCTCCTGATTAGAATCAAAATAAAAGCAAGAAGAATCAAGACTCGTGAGAAAATAATAGGTAAACAGCAACAGTGATCTCATGCAAACTATCTGACTGGAATATTACCTTCGGCACTGACTATCAGTACGAGGCGGAACACACGCTGCAACCTTAGACCAACAATAGCCATGCTCTTCAATGGCTGCCTTTAATTTTGAATCCTCTTCTTGTGTCCAGTCATTCCGATTTAGAGAGGGATCTACGCAGTTCACCCATCTGGTTCCAAAAACAAGGCCATGTTATTAGCAAATCAAACAATAGCAGTACCTTACTGAAAGAGAAGTATAGCTACCTTTCTCTACACTGAACTTGTGTCCTTCCAGGGACAAATCGGGCTATTTTTTTCCAAGTTTTCGGCCCAAAGAGCATCACAGCAACTTTTAAGCGCTTGTCTTCCTCTGGAGTCCACTTACCAACCCTTTGCCTGGCTGGGTGAAGTGATTTCATCCATCTGCATCAGTTTAAAAGACATGGTCAGGGTTCAAAAACCTAGTTGACATAAGCATGAAAAGAATCGCATATTTCAATGTCACACCATACCCCAATGTTTTCAATTTACTTCCTTTCAATTTCAACAAACAAACATTTAACATTGCTTAAGAAAAGACTTAAAACCAACACACAGGTTAAGAAGCAAACTGACCTATTAGAGCATTGGGTACCTATCCGTCCTTCCATAGCCGAAGCAACGACCTGCCAGTTGCTTTCTCCAAAAGCCTCTACGGCTGCTCGAAGTTGATTATCCTCCTCCTCAGTCCACTCCCTTTTGATTATGGAAGCATTAAGGCTTCTTTGATAACGAGCCAAGCACTGAAACGGGGTCCTATTTGTCCCCATTGATACAGCAATATCTATCCAGTTACTAAGGCCCTTCTGTTGAACAACATGCAGCAGATTCTTGTCCTCCGTTGAAGTCCAAGAATTTTGGTTAATTAAGGGGTCCTCACAGTTCAACCACCTGCAAAATTTTTAAACGGATCAGCCAACAAGTCCAAAACAGAATTAGAAGATGATTTTCATGCAAGCTCTTTTTCAACATTTTTCTTTTTCTATTGGAGGTTGGGTCCTAAGGGGAAAAAACCACCTCATTAGGGTAGCTCAGATACGAGAATAGACTCTCATGCAACACATTTCAAGCAATCAAGCTCAACAAGACAAGTTCAAAGCCATATCCATAAACTATACTATATCAATCAAAAAGTAACTTTGGACTGAAAGAATAAACAAATGTTACATACATCAAGAGTAATTGATATGCTACAGGCTCACAAAACAAATGATAAGCTCTTGAAAAATATAGAACGTGCCAGTCTGCATAAAAAATGGATAAATCTCTAAGAAGAAATGCCTGAAAACTACTTTATTAAAATTTGCCTATCACAGCACATTGCTACCATTTCAATTGTTTGTGCTCTTGGAAAATCACCATCCCATATGACTCCTATTACTACTACTTCAACTACTACCAGGATGAAGAAGTACTCAAAATGCATAAACATTATATGCAACAAAACATTTTTTGCATTCACCTTGCTTGACATTCGGCACCGGATCTACCAGGAAGATACATGGAGGCTAACTCATCCCAGTTGACCTTTGGCAGAAATTGTCTCATCTTGTCAGGGGTAATATCGAGATCCCTGATTGATGCAACAATGCTGTCCAAATTATCAGAATCATCAAAAGATCCATCTCCATCACTGTGAGCAGAGCATCAAGCCATGATATTCTTAGACAAAAAAGAAATCTAGTCACAAAAACTTATTTTTCAACCAATTAAATTAATATAAAGTTAAATGATTATAAAGGTAAGCTCTCTCATTTATCAATTTATTATTGGCATTAATAATTCTCAAAACTATTTGAGTGGAACATTAGTTCAATAGGGAGGACTTCAAGTTGTAACACTTGTTTTTGGACGTCAAATTAACAGTCAAAGCAATCCAAATGATACTGCTTTTTGATTTTCAAGTTGAAATTCTATGAATCACGTTGGATCTCATATACATCACAATGACTTTTTATTCTTTTTGAAAACGCATTACTTAGTTACTTGCCAGTTGATAGACCTAGATATTCTTTTTGCTCAAGTAGCAGATTGCCGTAATCCAAAAAAATCTTTGTTCTTATCCTTGTCTATATTTAGAAAACAAGACTATACATGCAAAAACCTTAACTAAAGGTTAAACATAGGATGATAGGTAAATGTAAAAAATTCAAATAAATGTACTGATGTGAATTCGCATCCTGCACATAGTAGAATAAATACCTTAGTAAATCAACTGATCTTTGAAGCAACATCTTTTGAAATTGCTGTTTCACACCATTCGAGAGCTTCTCTCTCTCTTCCTTTGACCACTTATTTCGAATCACAGATACAGGAAACTTTTCTAAAGCCTCTCTATAATTAGCAACTTGAGAATTCTCAGCAGGCCCATATTGCATAGGAGATGACTTCTTCTGACTAAGCTGCAAAAGCAACAGAAAAATGTATTTCAAAATTCAGACTCCTGACAAATATCACAAAACTTCAACTTAACATATGCTCTTAAAATATTTGTGCAAATGGCAACATTGATTTAAGAACTTGAAATACCAACAGTGTCCCTATAAAGAAGCAATTTTCGTGTTGGCTTAATAAAAAATGAATACTTGAGAGTCTAAGTGAAATAGTCTTTAGTGCACTAACCTGCACATTAGCACTTAGCTTTGGCACAGATATTAGCTGGACGCGGGCATCCTTCTTCTGTGATAAGGCTTGGCCAACTCTCTTTCTACAAGTAGCCTGAAAATCTTTCAGGATCTTCACCCTTTCCTTCAATTTTTTTAGCTCTTCAATCCTGGTTTCAATGTGCAACAATTTGCTCCTAATTAGTTTCTGACAAGACCTATTCTTCTTGATTGCATCCACAAAGGCTTCAGCTGCTTTTGGGAAAGAGGAACCTTTAACAGGCAATATAGCTGCATTAACAGAATCAGAATCGTGCCACTCACTGAAATCAGAAGGCTGGGTTCCAGCATTAACCTTACTACAAGCGTCAATATCCTTGGTGGCATTGTTGATCTTGTCCAGATAACTGGGAGACTCTTCTTGCAAATTAGAATTCTCAGGTTTGTGAGATACAACTTCCGTGCTTTCTCCCAGCCCACCTGAATTAAAACAACAGTAACGTTAAATGCTTCCTTATGTTGAAGCCCTTACTAAAGAACATGTCATCACGAAAAAATCTGTAAACACGGTAAACCATGTATAGGATTCAATCAAAAACTTCATAAGCATCATGCTTGACCTGCAAATCTGAAAGAAAACAACAACAAATAGAATCTCAATGAAGTTTTAATCACAGTGAGACAGTCTTCCACAGGAGCCTATATCTCCTGAAATGGTGTTCTTTTACATCACTCAGGACACTCAAAGACACCCTTTACTTCCTGAGCTGAAATCAGGTTATTCCCCGTTCTCCTGCCTTCCACACTTTTGGTTTTCAATTTTAGATTTCTATTTGAAGTCAATTGTCAAAATTAGAAAGTAATTAGTTCTTGATATCTGCATACTATGTCAACTTAGAGCTTTGCGTACAATATTTGCATTTTGACGTAAAATTTAGTTATTTCATGTTTCATTATATTTTGGTGTTTTCAGAACAACATCCTGGGGCACTTTTATGGACACACACACACACACAGATGCATCATCTGTTCCTCTTTTCTTTATAATTTCCTTTATGCAGGAATGGCTTTCTGGTATAACTTCTAAAAGATCCACAATTTTGATCATAAGACATTGTTGATTATTGATTCACAAATAAAAGTGGGCAGAGACAATTGAGGATTGTAACGTAGCCAAAGAAGCTAGGTATTTTCTATCTTGGAGAGATCATAGAGGTTTTCGTTCGTGTCCTGACAATATATTTGCTGCAAGTATATGTAGCAACTCCAAAAGGTAGAAGAATGCATTCCTATCTCTGTATGATGTAAGCTTGAGAGTATCCTATTCTAGAGATGTCTGGAGTTGCAAATTGGATAGAATTTGACGTGGTTGACACCACATCTTTGAAGGCTTTCCTCTTTTTCATCCATCTTTCTATAATTTTTAATGTCTAGTAGTATCAGATTTGCTTATTGTAAGATTAAAATTGATTTCTTTGCTTTAATAAACTATGGAATTACTATTGCAGGTGGTTTCAGGATAAGTGGCAAAGTATGTTCTCAGTGTTCGGTCTTAGATCCACTTATTGGTGAGTTAACAGTTGAAGCATCTGGAATCCCTATTCAATCAATTGACATCCACTTACTTCGCGTGGAGTCAATCTTGATTGGCGACAAAATAGCAACTGAAACCACTTCTATTCAGACAACACAGGCAAGAACCTTCCTTTGTTGAACTTCAGAATCTCTATTTGTATCGTTTCATTGATTTTCTGCCAGAATCTTGCATCAGGTAGCAGATGGAGATGTCTGTCGTGGCTTGACCTTACCCATATATGTCATTCTTCCACGCCTTTTGACTTGTCCAACAATTTTTGCAGGGTGCGTATATGATTAGATGTAGATGTTGTTTTGACTTCTTTTTCTGTTAACACATAAGTTTCTGAAACACTGGGTATTGTAAACTAGGCCATATGAGTGCTTACCTGCTTTAGCTTTGAAAAAAAGCATTCATATTATTGTTTACTTTCACAGAGGTAAGACAGGATTTTGAGTAGGTGCTCATTCAAATGTTTTGGTCACAATCATTTAGTATAATTAGTTTAGATCAGTTGTCAGTCTGTATAACTGACAGAGGAAGCTGACAGGCCTCAGTTCTAGCCACATATTGGGGCTACCTTCAATCTGATTGGAAAACTTAGTCTTAAAGATGTTTATCTGCTTCAAGTTTGTCAGAATATAGTTACAAGCCTTTGGTCAGGTTTAGATTCCTCATTGTAATGTGACAAAACCTTTTATTTATTAGGTTGGATTCTCAATTATATTCTTATTCAGTTGGATGTATTACTTTAGTTTTTGGTATAAATCTGTTGGTTAAGTTCACATTAGTACTGCAAATGTAGGATAAGGTAATTGAAATCTTCTTATGGGATTTTTTTTAAGTAATATAAAATCACACATCAGAGCGGGGGGGCATTCATACTTTTCAGTCTTCTTTGGAGTGATGTGCTTTTGATTTATCTATTTGTATTGTTGATGTTCCATACGATTGAGCAGTTGAAGAATTTCCACTTACAAATTGTTTGGGTGCAGTCCATTCTCAATAGAGTTCAAAACTACCATCGTCATTACTTTTAAATCAGAGCAAACCAAGAAACATCCAAAATATGATCCAAAAACTCCCAGATCATATGTAAGCATAATTTGTCTAATTTTGTACTTGGACCTTCCGGCTGTACGTATCTAAACAAAATTGTCATTGGGATTTAGATGGCTATGGAAAGTGTGCCTCTGGAACTGGTGCGCAAAAAGTAAGATGATTGGAGGTAACTCTCTAATTCTTTGGCATTGTCACTGTAATCTTTAAGTAGTTGTACTTAGTTTCAGTTTTCAGTAGTGTGATCAGCGTATCTGTACTATCGGCTCTGATTCTCTATATTCGGACTCCTTTTGTGCTTCGGGTATAGCCATTTACACCTTATGAGCAACGCTTGGCAGTATGTCAATATGTTCTTGCAACAACTTGGAAGAGAAGAATATCTCCAACTCGAGCTGTCAATTGGTTCAAAAAGTTTGTTCATTTAACTACTTTTTGACCTAGTTGAAATGACCCATATTCATTGATTAGTATCTCTGAGATGCCAGATCTACGACCATGTAGCAAGAGCACAGTACAATGGCCGGAAAGTCTTCAAATATGATGCTTCATCTCTTTCAGTTCCTGTTCAACTGTTTCTGGAAGATTTGTAAATATGTATTATAGGATCAGCTTCTTGTATTGCTGTTAGCTATCGGGGTACAGTTTATAACGAGTTTTTAGTTGGAATTACAAATTTAACTTATGTACTAGAGTCTTGGATATTAATAAACTTAAAACCTTTTTATCTTTCATCCCTTCGGGAGTTCTCTCTGGAGCATTGGCTTGGCTTGAAACTTCAAGCAAAGTAATCAATTTTAACTTGCCATGGAGCCTAAGATACGTGACCCTGGTAGAAAAAAAGGGAAGAATCAGGCTAAATCAATCCGAGGAGGACTTCACACGAGACGCAAATGTACAGATTCCACAATATAAATTGACACAATGATGTATGTGTCACCACTTCCCAAAAATGATTTATTTTTCTTAGATTGATCAATGCCAGATTAAATTTTCTTCATGCAACATCACCCTTCACAATACCAGATCCTTCATGTGTTTGTCTTTGAAGAAAAGAACCCATCAAGATAGCGAGAGCTCAACCACACACTATACTCAGCCACATCCGTGGAGGTTGGGGTAGCTTCGGGAGTCTTCATGCATAAATCAAACATTGACGAAGATGCAGACCAAAAACAAACAGAATAAAACATTTGAGGCGGAAAGAAAAGATGCATAGATAATTAGATACATGTTAACAAGGCCCATAAAATCATCCATAATGCAGTTCACACTTCAAGATGTATATTCATCGAAGTTCTGATTAAAGGTAAAAGAATCATCTTTTGCATACAAAGTCGGACTTTATTATTAGCATTTGCTTCTCTAAATTTCTTCAACATCTTTACTCAACTGAAAACTCAAACAGCATGCTGTGTTCATACTTCTCTCCCGGTCGAACAACAATAGAAGGGAAATTTGGTTGATTGATCGCATTCGGAAATCCCTGTGTTTCCAAACAAACCCCAGAATGTTTGTCATACTGAGCACCTCCTTTACCAACAATTCCATGTACGTAGTTGGCTGTATAAAACTGCATACCAGGAGCATTTGTCCATAAGTTCAGAACTCTTGAACTCACTGGATCCTTCAATTTCACCGCATGCTTCAGCCCCCATTGCTCATCTTCACAATCAAGCACATAGTTGTGGTCATAGCCTATGCCAACCTCATGGATACGACTACCAATTTTCTGCTCAGTGGTGAAGTCAAAAGGAGTATCTTTAACTGGCATGATTTCTCCTGTTGGGATTGTATTCTGATCCACAGGAGTAACATGCTTTGCCCATATCTGAATAGTATGATCAAGAACGTTTCCTGAGTTGTGGCCTCCTAAGTTCCAATAGGTATGTTGAGCTAAACTCACTGGGGTTGGTTTGTTTTGAGGCACAGCTTTCATGTCTAGCCTCAATGTTGTTGCCGAGGTGAGTGTATAAGTTGCAGTTACAGCTAATTCCCCTGGATAACCTATTTCCAAAAGAAGAATTACTTGCAGCTTTGCATCCACCATATGAGAGAGAGAGAGAGAGAGAGAGAGAGAGTACCTTCCTCCCCATCACGGCTATAGTATTTGAATGTGATTGATGGTTCATTGCCTTGCTTGTGTTCCACTACTTCCCACACAACCTTGTCATATCCCTTATGCCCACCTTGAAAAATTGACAAAAAAAATAGAGTTAAACTGATCATATTCTTGATACAATAATATGTAAATCAAACACTGGGAATGTGAGGATGAATCATGAGATCTATAGATAAAAGCAAAGGCTTAAAAATGATCAAAATGTCCAAACAAGTACAAAGAAAAAAAAAATGAGACATGAAGCGGATAATTGCAAATTTCACTCATGCAGCAGAAATTGTGAAATTTCTATCACAAGGAGCAGTTATGCCCTATGCATCTAACAGCTCAAAATCACAAATCCATTTTTAAGAGTACAACACAGGAGAAAAAAGCTTACAGGTCATAAGGACAACTGTTGGACTACCCAAAGATAAGAAACAAGGTAATACTTCAGTAGCCAATTATCATTTGCAGCTACTGAATTCGTTGTTGACTATGGCAAAGGTGAAATCCAGAAAAGAAGTCCATCAGTAAATTTTGAGAACAGTCGCAGTAGTTATTATTACATTTAAATGAGGTAGAATGAAGGATAGATATGAGCAGAGAATTGAGCTGAAGAATGATCCCCTCAAAAAAGCCACAGTTATCCACATGATTTGCTCTAAAGTAGGATAGTCTAAATAGGTAAAAGCCAACAAAACTGATGCATGTGTTTCACAGCAATACGCTGAAAAGATGGATGCTTCTGACTCCCATTCATATCATCAATATCTTCTAAGTCCTCGTGAGCAAAATATGCATGCTCAATCAACGAAAAAGTTCCAATGTAATAAAACAATGTGCAGTCACAACTCATATCATGGCATCTCGATCGTTGAAACAGACAGCGAGTTTGGAGGCTGAAGGGGGCAATACACTCTTTGAAAGTAAAACTTCCATTTCATGAATATAGTTTTAAAAGACACAATTTCCTCTAGTTCAGCAATCATAAGATCCTGTGTTCCTCTATCAGAGTCATACTAATGGATAAAGATTTCAACAAGAAGTGATTGTATTGTTACCATGGAGACTGTTTGGAGGCTTGTTGATGGGCAAGGAGTAGTGAGCACCATCGAGTGTAAATTTGCCATCTTTAATCCTGTTTGCAACCCGGCCAACAATGCAGCCAAAATAAGGTGCAGCCCCTTTCTGAAGCATGCACAGACATAGAATAATCAAAATCCCAGTTACCTGCGATCAAAACTGAACAAACCAACCAAAACAAAAACCAAAAGGGCCCTTCCAATTCACCTAAAACCAACAAATCCCTAGACCAAATTCTGATCAAAATCCAATACCAAGAAAAGCCACAGAAGCGTTTGAAGCACAAATTAGCAAATAATAACAGCAAGAAACTCACCAGATACGGCTCAAGTGCGTCAAATCCAAGAACAACATCGCCCAATTTTCCTTCACAAATCCATTGTAAAGAAAAAGACCCACAGCATTAGTAACAGAGCCAAATTGATCAAAATAATTGGATTCGATCAATACAGCTATAATAAGTAGAAAACTAAAAAAGAAAAGAAAAGGTACAATCACTAGAAGTACCATTTTTATCGGGGACAGACAATGAGGTGATGGTACAGCCAAGACTGGAGACCTTGAGTTGGATGGTGCCATTGTTGAGTTCAAAGAGCTTTGGTTCTGCCATTTCAGCAGCTTCTGATGAAGATGGATTGAGTTGTCGAGTTGGGATTGGAAGGCTTCTAAGTGCGTACGGTGGGAGACAATTGCAGACGTAGTGGTACGTGTGTTTTAAAAGTGCAGAGGAATCGGGTTCCGTTGTCTTCATGACGTCATTATTCTCGTACTAATCTCGGATAAAGATTACGTGCGTTACGGATAGTTATCCATTTTCCTTATTTATTTTGGCACAATCCATTAAGGATTTTTTTCGGTCTTTCAGAATCATCAAACAGAACGAACAAGTTGTACATTTAAATGTGAGACAGCTAGTAAAAATTTTAATTACTTGATAAAAACAAAATCAATAGGTCAAATCCTCAAGAATTTGGAGCCCATTTGAATTGCTATTTTTTAAAATTTTTGTAAAAAATCATATTTTAATAAGCAATTTATTTTTTGATAGTGATGAGAAGGAAGTTGAAGGCTTGCTCAAGCACGTACACCGTTCTAACATTTTACCAAAAGAGAAGATATGGGGAGTGTTTGGATAGCACTACTATTATCTCAAATAATATTTCGTTTGTATTATAAACACATTTTTCAATTCACCTTTTTATATTCTCGACCATCTTTTTATCTCACGTACATCACATCACAAAAAGTATTACAGTAATTATTCTAAATAATATTTCAAATAATACTCTATAGTAACATGGAGAAAGAAACACTCATCGGATCAGAATTGAACAAATAAAAAAGAAAGCTATAGTGTAAATTCTAGGAGGAATGCAATCTTTGCTCCAAAGAGTGAACGAATGAAGAGAGCAAATTCTAGGAGGTTGACAAAATGCCTTAAACCACCATAACCTTTTTACTTATTTTACTCTAAATATATAAAACCTAATAATTAATGAGGGATAAACTGAAAAATGTTTTCATGGTTGAATTAGCCCTTAGCGGACCCTAGAGCCGGAGGAGTTGGAGGGCTCTTGTGATCACCAGGAGTAGTACCGGGTGGAGAGAGAGGTGGAAGAAATGCGTGCAACCACTGAAGTACAGTCGTGAGTATAGCAGGAGGCAAGTAAGCTATAGCCACGGAGGAGGCTTCGATCCCGACCCTTTACCAGCTCGGTGGAGGAGGAAGTCCATGATGCCACCACGGAGAAAGGCCGTGGCCGAACCCGAACCCGAACCCGCCTACAGGATGGGGAGGAAATGCATAATGCCACCGCAGGGGAAGGGCGTGGCTGGATCCTGCCTACAGCCCAATTTTGATGACTTACCTAGTAGAGCCCAATTTTGAAATGAGTGCAACTTTGGGCTTTACCATTAGCTAGGCCGAGCCTGCCAAATGCCAACTTCACATCATTAGTAGCAGCCCATGGACTGCAAGCTCATAAGCTTCTGTGTTTTACAAAATTTTGGTCTCGGAGACGGTGGATGTAAACTTGCAGTAAAAAAAAAAAAAAACAAACATCACTAAAAAAGAACATTAAAGAACTGCAGTACGGAAACAATCTTCTGGATCATGTCCATCTACATTACTCATTTTCAAGCCCTCCAATGCCTTTGGCCCCAAGAAAAAGAACACTAAAGAATTCTACCAAATTTTGAAAAATCCTCCAGAATATTAAATTCCTCCTTGGCTTCCAAGAAAAACTAGCAAGAACAATTGTGGTTCGATTCTTTGATGCTTGCTGCTTCACCAAATGCCTAAAACTACATTAGCATGTATACTTTTCTGACATCTATATAAAGGTCGAAAGAAGAACAACCATCATAACAGAACTACGAATACTCAGCAAGCTTTTATTCAAGTCAAAAGACTTTACATAGAACCAGCAGCAAAGAAGCTTATATCCTCAGCCACAGCGCATTCATCTACTTCTGTATAGCCCCTGATCTTGGCAACAAACACATAGGAGCAGCAAAAGTTTTTCAATCAACCGGCAGAAATGGTGTCGCTGAGGCTGCAGAAGAGGCTAGCAGCCAGCATTCTCAAGTGTGGAAGAGGAAAGGTCTGGCTTGACCCTAATGAGACCAATGACATATCCACTGCCAATTCTAGTATGTCATACTGTGCTCTCTCTCTATGTCTTCATTCAACTCTCCGAGAAAATCAAGCGCACACTTGCCCAGTAATCTGCAGTTATAGTAGTATTCCAAAATGAACTTGCATATCATTATACAATCAGAGCCTTATAGTACTGCGATAGAGAATCGAGGAGTTGTGGTATACCGATAACAGAATTGTGATATTGAAGCTACTATGGTTTGAATTAACTTCTTCATATCTTTCTAACATTTTGAACTGGATGAGTGCTATGTATGTCCGTCAGTTTGCTAAATTATATTTTACTAAAAGGATTCTATTTGTTCGCAGGGATGGCTATAAGAATGCTCATAAAAGATGGTTTTATTATCAAAAGGCCTAGAAAAGTACATTCAAGATCACGTGCTAGAGAAGGAAAGGAAGCAAAAAGAGAAGGTAGGCATACAGGATATGGAAAGAGGAAGGGAACACGCGAAGCAAGGCTTGCGACAAAAGTACTATGGATGAGAAGGACAAGGATATTAAGGCGCCTTCTACAGAGGTACCGGGAATGCAACAGAATCGATCGGCACATGTATCATGACATGTACTTGAAAGTCAAAGGAAATGAATTCAAGAATAAGCGTGTATTAATGGAGAACATCCACAAGTTCAAGGTCAAGAAAATCAGAGAAACTTCACTGTACAATCAGTTAAGAGCCAGGAAAGCCCACAGCAAAAGTGCTGCTATGGACCAGAAACAATGAGATATAGAGAGTGATAGCAATGGAACCATCATCATTGTCATAAATAAAATCATGTTAATTGCATTAATGAAACTTCAGGCCTTAAGTTCTTCTTTGTTTCATTCAAATCATTTGACTCTGTATTCCTCTTCTTGTTACAAAGCTGATGGACAAATTGATACATATACTAATAAGAATATTATGGACTGTACACATGGATTGACAACACTTAATCTTGACAAAAAGTTTACAGGTTCAACAATATTGCCAAGTAATTTGCCAGTCAAGAAACCTAAGAACACAGAGAAAGAGAACACACATATGCAAACTGCACAGGCACACACACAAAGATAAAGAAAATGCTGTCACAACAAAACACCTGCTTTTCAAGGTAATAATACCTCTGATTCTATTGTTGCATCGAAGAACAGTACGATGCTATTCCATGGACTCTGATTTCGATGCTTGCACCTGCATGATAGATGTATGTAATACACTTTCAGGATGTCATATGCCTTTAGAGATCTATTTTGACTTGCATGCAATATATTCACCAATGCCCTTCTAAAGGAGCCTGAAGGCACGACCATTTTGAAAATTCTGGATGTGTAAAATCATATGAGTTATAGGACTGGAATAAAAGCAAAGAGAATCAAACACTAGACATGAGAAGCAAGCTACACAGAATGACAATAAAGACAATACACCTAAATGCTAGTGGAATGCACTGCACAAAAAAGAAGTAAATAGCTCATGAAAAGACACATTCAAATCTGAAAGGAGGATCTTTACCATAATATATCAGCACAAGAACCATAAAACCATCAGCACTTCTAATATCTAGTAGGAGAACATGCAAAATTCTTACATGGTAACGTAGAGTAAGTTTAAATGCTGAGGTATCTTGAATTAGCCTAGCCCTTAATGAACATTTTTAAGGGTTGATTCCAGAGTTAGCCAATCAGCGTCAGGCCAGGAGAGCCCAACTAAAGATTAACTCAAAAATTCTCAGAAGTCGAGAGCTTAAAACCATGATGAACATTATCAGATTCTAAAAAAAAAATCAGGCGGCCATTCCTGGCTGTGATTAATGCAACCAACATTCATAACAGATGGACAAGCTATGCAAAAGAGGACTTACTTGGATATTTGATGCTACAGCTCAAGCATATCGAATCTGTAGTATGCCCCTTATTAAACTTATATCACTAAATGCTAGCTTCATTTTGGGCCTTGCCCCACTGACGTCGACGAGCTCGCCTTTTTCTCCCATCCTTTTTTGCCTTAGCTTTCTCTTTCAAGTCTCTTTCACCACGCCGTTTATACATCTTAAAGGTCATCTGTCTCTCAGCAGCCATTTTCCTCACCTTCTCTGTGATTTCAGCAGCAAGTTGCCTGTTGTACAGCTTCCTCAAACCACGCATTAGCTTGGCAAAGGTGTCTGGCTGAGGCATCACGCCACTATCCATCATATCCAAACAGTAAGAACAAGCTTCCTTCACATGCCCCTTTGAGAAGAGTGCATGAATCCAAATTGTCCACGCATATGTGTTGAGTTCACATCCTTTAGTCATAATGCAACTCCAGACATCTTTAGCCATTTCAACCTTATCAGCTCTAAGCAGAGAATTTAATAGATCCTTAAGGGTACCATATTGAGGAGCAGACAGCAGACCTCTCAAGATCATATCTTTAAAGTAATTACATGCTTCCACCAGACACCCTTGCTCCACTAAGCCATTTATCATAATGACAAAAGAGTCAACCCCTGGACTTATCCCATTCACTTCAATCTGATTCCAAAATCTAATACATTCTTTAATCTCCCCCAACTTGCAAGACAATCGGATTAAAGTATTGTAAATGCTGACGTCAGGAACTAAACCAATCTTCTGCATCTCTTCCACAAGTTGCATACACTCCTCCAGCTCTTCCTTCTTCTCATGAGCCAACATGATGTGCAAATACGTAGTCTGAGTAGGAGTGAGCCCCTTCTGTATCATGCTATCCAAAAGCTCATACCCCTTATTTATCTTACCCCACTTACAAAATCCACTTATCATGGTAGTATATGTCACCACATCAGCCTCACACCCACTCCTTTCCATATCGCTTAAGATTCGGATTGCTTCATCCATCTTTTCCTGAGCACAAAGGGCCTGAATCACAACAGTAAATGATGTTGCGTTGGGTTCACAACCCTTCCTCTTCATCTCTTGCAATAGATCAAATGCATCTACCATTTTCCCAGCCACTGCATATCCATTAAGCAAATTGTTGTAGACCACAATGTCAGGTTCAAACCCTGCTTCCTTCATTTTCCCCAATACATGTTTTGCCTCCATAAGCTTCCCTTCCCTACACCAACCATATAACAGTGAAGTAAAATGCTTAATTGTCGGCTTAAATCTCATCCTCATATCGTCGAAAAGCAATGCAGCTTCTTTAACACTGCTATTCTTGCACAAAGCATCCAACAAACATCCAAAAACATACTCATCTGGTTCACACCCGTATTTTGGCATCTCATCCAAAACTTCAATAGCTTTCTTGACCAGCTTTGCAGAGGCAAATCTCCGCATCAGAACAACAAACATCTCAGGCGATAACAGCTGAGGATTCTCCTTCCTCATCTCCTCAATAAGAGCCCAAACAGCTCCAAATTGTCTCATTTTCCCCATAATCCTGATCATTGCCTTATACACATCATAACTATGCCTATAACCCGGCTGTTTCGACGCCCACACAAAGAAACTATATCCTAAGTTTCCAGCATCACCACAACGGTTCAAAACTCTTTCGGTCAATCCTGATCTTACAACAACGCCTGATTCTTTCAAGGCAAGTTCCAATTTCGGGGCTCTAGTATGAAATTTTCTCAAAATTTTATAAATCTTTTCAACATCAGCAGAAAATTCATCATGCCTTTTACTGTCCATTGAGCTTTCTGGTTCAGAACTGAGGCGAATTAAGTCATGCCCTTTTATTGCTTCACTCGAAACCCTTCCACTTTCTTTCCAAGAACTGGATTTTACCGAGTTTTGGGCTGAACCCAGATGGGAATAGGTAGAAAAATGACGACTTTTTGATGGTTCATGAAATGAGAAAAGGGGTAACGGCCATTTTCTGCAGAGAGCTAGGAATTTCTTTGAACTAGCTCTCTGCATTCTTTATTTGGATAAAACCAGAAAATTTCCACAAACCAAAAAAGGGAAATCTAAACCTTTGTGGTGCTATGCGCCTGGACAGGGTGTTCTAATGGCACTCTAGAGATGGATGAAGGGACGTAATTATCCAAAACAGATTCTGCAGCATTTTGATGGATACCCCTGCTTCTGCTTTGATTTCTGATTATTGAGTTTTGCAGGAAGAAGAATTGGAGCTGCAATCAATTCTGCTGAAGACTGATTTCGGGCATCATGATCAAGTGAGTGGAAGTGAATGGCAATTTCGGCCTGAATACTTTTCAAGCCTTCACTGCCCTCAGTACTGGGCCGCTCATGACTCAAGTGACCCAAAATACGAAATAAAAGCCGGTCCACTCAGTGAATACGGTCAATAAGTTTTCTTCTTTCTTCTTTCTTTTTTTTTTTTTCATTTTGTTTTTTCCGGAGATCATTGGTTTGATTGGAATTAATCTTAAGAAGAAATTCATTTATGTCATAACTTGTCCCATCAAGTCAATGTACTTAGCTTACTTGTTCAATCGGAAGGAGGCCGATGCAAATTATGTTGCAATAATTCTACAAGAATAAACCTGTCAATTCCTCGGAGTTGAATTGGGGCCAAAAATTTGCTTCAAGCTATGCAGATTCAAGATTTTCAGTTTTGTGTTTCTTGATTCGATATACACATTGCCGTCCACTTCAAGTTGCCTCTCCATTTTCCTATGTATTTTCATACCCTTTTTTTTTTTGGGGTCCTGCCATCAGAAGCATCACTATTTTAAATTGCCAAGTTAAGAGAATTGAGTTTTGTGACTTAAAATGTAGCCAATGGATTGAGGACGAATAGTACACATATTTGTGGGCAGACCACATGAAGAACTGAAATTCAGAATTACATGGTATAGTAATTGGCACTAAATAGGATCAAGGTTTTAGACATCTAAGATATCCAAGGGTAGAAAGAAAGTAAAGAACACAGAAAGATGAAAGAAAATGCTGTTACAACTAGACATATTCTTCTGTGCTTTTGTCTCTGCTTTCCGAGGTATTTATATTTTATACCCCTCGTTTTGATGCCTGAAGCTTGAAGACTGTCACCATGCTTTTCCAGCTGAACCAAATAGACGCATCTTCTCTGCAACCACAGCCTTCATGGCCTCCTTGGCAGAGGTCATGACTTGGATGAGATCTTTCTTGGAGCTGTTTAATGAATCCATATAAGCCTTTCGCACCTCGGTGTTGACATTGAACTTCCTTACTCCTAGCTTTATACATTCCTGGGAATAATCATGCATGCGTAGCATCTATTAGTCAGCATTGTGGGTTCGACTTGAATCAAGAACTTCAAAGTTGTACCAAATGCTTTCTAGAAATAGCTAAACAATAGTTAAACAAGCAATAATACCTCGATGAGCTCCTTCGGCAATCCAGAAGCTCCATGGAGAACAACATAAACTCCTTTCTTTGAACACAGACCATAAAGATCCTGGAGAGATAGCAGAGGGGAGGATTAGAAGCTTAACAGGCATGGATGCTTAATCTTTCTTGCAATCAAAATCATGCACAACAAAGATAAGAAGTTAAAAAAGCAAGCTCTTAATACAATTTCCACGGTTGTAGCATTTGACCAAAGTCGCTAAGATTTTGCTCACAAAAATTACGCAAAAAAAAAAGTTACAAACTAGGACAGTATAATAGCATCTGACAGATTAATATACATACGCAACCCAGCATTGTGACAAACGGCATAAATTAGCAAGAAAATTTATAATGACAACTAGGTTAATAATCAGGCAGCAAAGGCTTTAAAATTTTGCAGAAGCTAAGGATACTTGTAAATAAACCAACTAAACAGCTTTCAAGTTTCAACAGTAAGGTTTTTGGCAGATGGTCCAAATAAACAAGTATGATAGGTGCCAGTGACACATATAGGAGCTTGGAAATCATCAGCAACATGCTAACAGAAAAGTGCACACAATCTAGCTTTCACACTCCAAAACTCTGTGGATGTCCAACGACTTTAAGAATACCGACCTAGTGCTTTTAGTGCATTTATTAATGTGATTTAGAAAGATAAGCATGGATGTGAACACTTCAACTGAAAGCTTGCTTACCCTACAAAATACAAAAATACAACACAAGAAGGAATATATATGCCTGACCTTGAGCAAATCAAGTCTAAGATTTGGGCCACTTTCAGGGTACTTTCCATGAACATTCCCAATGCACACAGCCAAAGCGTCTATACCCGTTGTGTCAATGAACTCGTTTGCCTGAAATTCACCAAATACTTAAGGTCACATTGGTAATTAAATGACAAGGATATCTTCCTAATTTCAGACAGTTCCTCTGTAAGAAAGAGCAACGTATTAGACAGATAGAGAACCTGGGTAACATCAGTTAGCCGAGCCTCATAATCTTCAACAGTCAGATCATCTTCAGTTCCTGACAATCTTCCCAATTCAGCTTCTACCACCATATTTTTGGTGTGCGCCACTTCTGCAATGGATTTTGTGTATGATATATTCTCCTTGAAAGGAAGGTCAGAACCATCCACCATGACCGAATGAAATCCCTGCCATGGTAATTAAGTTGAGAAGCTATGTGACAAGATAAATATCTATAGCTTAAATGAAATTCCTGGGAGCATATAAATTCTTTATCAGGCGATAAACATAAAATACAAGTCTCATAGAAGTCAACAAGAAGCTTACCAACTCAAGAACTCCCAACAACTCTTGTTTTGAGCTTCCATGATCAAAGTGAACAGTAATAGGGACCTGCATTGAAGTTAATAAAGTTATTCAAGCTAACTAGCAATCAAAAGCAGCATTAGGAAAAAAGAAAGGACAGCCATTGGTATTTCAGATTTTAATCAAATATAAGATTATATGTTTAGACTCAAATACCATTTAGACAAAGTTATGGGTAAGCATCTTTCAATACTTTATCACTTTTTTCAGGGAGGGGGTTAAAAATTTAAAGTAAAGAGACCTAAAATACCAAGGCATATAATAAGACTCTGCGTACATAGCCATTGCATTTAAGCTGCATATGACGAGAATAACACATCAGTGAAGTATAAGATTCCTTCACAAACCCAAGAATCTGTTGGTCATGTTCCTTGTTTATAGAAATTGGCCATCATATCACATTATACTGCGTTTTTAGCTGTTCAATGAAAAAGATTTCTTCTCCTCCTCACCTATTTAGAAGAAAGTCCATTTGGATTTTATCAAATATTTCTCAGCCATGTTTCCTTTTAGCAGTCTACAAGTGCTAAAAGCACACATTATTGGGTTTTAAACAATATGTTACTTACTGTTGCTTGTTCTGCAGCAGAGATACAACAGGCAACCAAAGGGGTTCCTCCTTGTTTTAAAGCACTAGGATGGATCTGTATAAGAAGTGGTTCAAAATAATAAATCAGCGTCAATGACTATATGACTCCAATAGAGCATAAATTTAGTTAATCAAGAACAGATTTAATACAAAACATTAATCTGTGAAATTGAAAGCTTTTTTTCTCTCTTGCAGTTAAAGCCTCGAAAGTTGATTGAAATTTTAAGCATGAGAGTCTTGAATGCATTGGCACCTTGCAAGCATCATGTACTATAGTACATAAACAAAGGAAGGAAGTACACGACTGAAATAAAATAGAGTACTAGTTAAGCACATGTTTAATTAAAGGAATAAATGAACCCAGGTACTACTAAAATGGGTTTCAGTTGAGCCAACTTAGGCTCAGAGAGAGGTTGAGAAGTTATGAGACAATGTTGTCATATTTCAAGTGGCAGTCCCACTATGCCATCCTCCAAAAATAAACACGTTAGCATACAAAAAGAAGGGGGATAAAGTTTCAGGAAAGCATGTAAAGTGCAACACATATGTTTTGGAGTAAAACCATTTGAGAAATTTGGCGTTTGAAGATATGCATTTTTCATTACCATAGAAATTATAAAATTTTGATGAACTTAAAAAGAGTTACATTCTTTTGCACAACCATCTTAATTTTTTCCCTAGACAAACCTTAAATGTAATTGGGCATAATTTCTTCAGGAATTTGAAATAGTATGAACTTTCTTCCATAAGTATGACAAGGATTCCAAGTTAGTCAGAAATTTGTATTTTCACGTCACATTTCAGATAGTTTTTATAGCATTTTGTAGCAGTCATGCTTCTTGAGAGCTTGAAAAAGTAAAAAATTATCACACTCTGCCCCAAATTAATGTACAGCCAAACCTGTAAAATGGCAGGACTTCCTTCATCCTCTGCTGCAGCAACAACTGCCTGAACTCCTTCTAAATTATACACGTTGAAAGCTCCAATGGCGTATCCACCTCTTTCTGCATTCTAAACATGGAATAGATAATCATTACTTGAAATATGAGCCAGTTCACAAATTATTCAAAAGACAGCTCTTACATGGAGAAGTTCCTTAGTTGATGAGATTCTGACACTAGCCCACTGTTTTACTACTTCAGCTAAAGCATTACTGTCACCGACATTTCCTAAGTAAAGATATAGGTTACATTATGGATCCAAAAGAAATCTCTGAGAGGAATTTGCACCATAAGAAGTACAACATTTCAAGTTACCTGGAAATACAATATACGGTACTTCAGGGTGTTTGCTTTCAGGACCTAGCTGCCACAAGGGAACACCAGGTAAAGCCTGACCAGCTATTTTGGCACATCTTGCTCCAAGAGCTTTTGTAGCAAGGTCTGAAGAGGTTATACCACCCTGTGTAGGGAAGAGCTTATTTGAGCATTAAACCGTGAATACACCATCATTGCCTATGTATTATTATAACACCCTAAGTATGTCAAACAATAAAATAGCGGACAACCCTTCCCAGCACCATCAGCGAAAGGGGTACTTAATGCCAGAATGTGATCTCCATTTGGAATTAACACATTTGCAACACTGCCTTTTTCCCCTCCTGTGTAACTTTAGGATAGGAGATTATGAAGCACAGTCCTCATACTCAAAATATAAAAAGGATGTAACTCTGGATGATCTTTGTCTTCGGCATCAACAGCCCATGACATAACTCTTATGTTTGCGGGAGGATTTGTGCAGAGAGAAGAGAGAGGCCTTCGGAGGGTAGAAGATAACTTGGGAAATCTTTACAGCTATTAGAAACAGTAATAAGGGACACTTATGGAATCTCTTCTATACTTCAGATTTTTTATGTTGTTCATATCATTATCTAATAACTTTGCAAATGTTTAGAAAAATAGCAATATCCATGTAGGTTCCAACCTAAAATGATGCATCACAATACT